CCCCAAAACCCCAAAACCCCAAAACCCCAAAACCCCTTTCAGAGCAATATAAAAGTTACACAAGATCCTAAATATATAATCATTAATAAAAATTTTCTAAAAATGAATAGAAAGCAAAAATCAATCTAGAAGAAAAGCTTAGAGAATTCATAGGGACTTCAATAGAAATAACCCGAATCCTAAGTCTAAGAGTATGAGAATAAAGAACCTCAATAATCTCAAATCGGAGAGCCTTATAACGAAAAACGTGTCAAGTTCCATCATAAAAAGTACATCAGAAATGAAAGTTTGAGTTAAGCTTAAATATTGAAGAAGAGATCAAAATGTGTTCGCTAGAATAAGCAAAAATAAGAACATACTAAATTAATTTAGAGAGAAAATTCTCTAATACTTACAGATCAGCCGTAGGACTAGTAAACTAATTGGAAAGAGGAAGATTAGAATGACTTCTCCGGCAAACATTCAAAAAATAGCAACACCATCTAGTAAATTCCTTAAGATTTAGATCTTAACATTGAAATCATGAATGAAGATACATAATTACCATAAAATACCGAAGAGGTTAAGGAGGAATTACAAAATCCCCCACGGCATGATGATACTTAGAATTGAAATGCCCATAATAACTAATTTAGGAGTTATAAATGGAAGTTTTCTATTGCATTCTAAAACAAATCCAATACCAAAATAGCAGCACTATCAAAGAAAAAATCTCCTTAAATAATGAGTAATTAATAGTCCTCAGAAACTGATGATGCTGTCAATAATTCCGTTCCTACAATTGCTAGAAACAAATCTTAAGAGTGTAAGTAAAAAAAGTTAGAGAAAGTAAGGTAAAATTAGAATATAAATTATTAATAGTGTATAAGGCACTCCCTAGAAGATGAGGATATTCATTAACGCAACTTAAAGATTAAGCTTAACAATGAGAAAGATCTTGAATATGAGGAGTATTTCATATCTGAGGAGTAATTCAATTAGAGTCTTCTCCAAACTCAGGATCATAATAATGAAGGCTCCAGAGAAATCTTAAACCGTAAAGATCAAAGTACAGGGATAGTAGAGTTGTTAAATTCTAATAGCCAATTTGATGAAAGAACTACTAAAGAGAATACCAATCATCTTTGAAAAGTGATAAACATGAGTATTTAAGGATTCATACCCATAGAAAAATCCTTATATTTCTTTGAAAACTTAAAATCGATTTAAATATAGTATTTGTTTACTTCTTTTAATTTGTTGCTTCGAGGGGTTTTGGGGTTTTGGGGTTTTGGGG